TCATCATGGCGGCTGGCAGTGTCTCTCTGACTCAGCCTTCCACTTCCCAGCTTTATTCTCCTCCTTGTCCCGCCTACACTTCTTGCCTAGCCAATGGCCAATCAGTGTTTTATTTATTGACTAATTAGCAACACATTTGCCATACAGAACATCCCACAGCACACAGTTCTTCACAGACTTGGAAAGAACAATACTTAACTTCATATGGAAAAACAAAGAACCCAGGATAGCTAAAACAATCCTGTACAATAAAGCAACTTCTTGAGGCATCACCATCCCTGGCTTCAAGCTCTACTATAGAGCTATTGTAACAAAAACAGCTTGGTACTGGTATAAAATCTGACATGTGGACCAATGGAATCAAAATGAAGTCCTGACATTAATCCGCACACTTATGAACACCTGATTCTTGACAAGGAAACCAAAACTGTACAATGGAGAAAAGAATCTTAAACTAATGGTGTTGGCATAACTGGATGTCAACATGTGGAAGATTGCAAATAGATCCATATCTGTCACCATGTACAAAACTCAAGCCAAAGTGGATCAAAGACCTCAACATAAATCCAGTTACACTGAACCTGATAGAAGAGAAAGTAGGAAGTAGCCTTGAACAAATTGGCATAGGAGACCACTTCCTAAATATAACACCAGTCACACAGACACTGAGAGCAACAATTAATAAATGGGACCTCCTGAAACTGAGAAGCTTTTGTAGGGAAAAAGACACAGTCAATAAGACAAAAAGACTGCCTACAGAATGGGAAAAGATCTTTACCACCCCCACATCTGACAGAGGGCTGATCTCCAAAATATATAAATATTTCAAAAAACTAGACATCAAAATACCAAACAATCCAATTAAAAGATGAGCTACAGAGCTAAACAGAATTCTCAACAGAAGAACCTCAAATGGCTGAAAGACATTTAAGGAATTGCTCCATATCCTTAGTCATCAGGGAGATGCAAATCAAAACAACTTTGAGATACCATCTTACACTGGTCAGAATGGCTAAGATAAAAAGCACCACAGACAGCTTATTTTGGAGAGGATGTGCAGCAAGGGGGACACTCCTCCACTCTTGGTGGGAGTGCAAACTTGTACAGCCATTTTGGAAATCAGTATGGTGGTTTCTCAGAAAATTGGGAATCAATCTACCTCAAGACCCAGCTATACCACTCTTGGGCATATATCCAAGGAATGCTCAATCATACCACAAGGATCCATGTTCAACTATTTTCATAGCAGCATTATTCATAATAGCTAGAACCTGGAAACAACCTGGATGCCCTCAACTGAAGAATGGATAAAGAAAATGTGGCACATATACACAATGGAGTACTACTCATCAGTTAAAAAAAAAAAAACAATGATATCATGAAAATTGCAGGCAAATGGCTGGAACTAGAAAATATCATCCTGAGTGAGGTAACCCAGACTCCGAAGGACAAACATGGTATGTACTCACTCATAAGTAGATACTAGATGTAAAGCAAAGAATAACCAGACTATAGCCCACAGCTCCTGAGAAGCTAACTAACAGGGAGGACCCTAAGAGGGACACATATGTAGCCCAGTGCAGGACAAATAGATGATATCTACATTAGCAAACTCAGGGGTGAGGGGGTAAATGGAGGGCAAGGAATGGGGGATGAGAACATAAGGAAATGGGAGGTTCAAGCTGGAAGAGGGACAGAGTGGAAGAGCAAGGAAAGAGATACTATGATAAATGAAGACATGGGAATAGGGAGAAAGAGAGTGCTAGGGAAGTTCCCAGGAATCCACAAGAATGACCCCACCTTAGACTACTGGCAATATTTGAGAGGGTGTCTGAACTGGTCTACTCTGGTAACCAGATTAATGAATACCCTAACTGTCATCAGAGCCTTCATCCAGTTACTGATGGAAGCAGATTTAGAGATCCATGGCCAGGTGCCAGGCCAAGCTCCAGATGTTCAATTGATGAGAGAGAGAGGAGTGATTCTATAAGCAAGGGACATTGAGATCATGATTGGAAAATATACAGAGACAGCCAGCCAAACTAGTGGAAATGCATGAACTTTGGACCAATAGCTGTGGAGCCCCCATGGGACTAGCCCTCTTGATACGTGAGACAGTTGTTTAGCTTGAACTGTTTGAGGGAGCCCCCAGGCAGTGGGATTGGGATCTGTCCCTGATGCATGAGTGGGCTTTTTGGTGCCTAGTGCCTAAGGTGTGACACCTTGCGCAGCCTTGGTGCAGGGGTTAGGGGCTTGGACCTGCCTCAACTGAATGTACCAGGCTCTGCTGACTCCCCATGGGAGACCTTGACTTGGAGCAGGTGGGAATGGGAGGAGTGTTGCGGGGGAAGGCTGGGGGTGGGAAGATAGTGGGGGAATCTGTGGTAGGTATGTAAAATGAATAGAAAATTTCTTAATAATAAAAAAATGAAAAAAGAATAAAACAAATAAAATTGAATTTTATGGACCACTCTGTGTGATGGAACTCACATCTTTCACTGAAGACTATATAGATTATGGACCTTAGAGAAAAACCTGATACTGTTATTCTGCTAAGGAAACATAGTAATAATCTGGCTTCTAATGACATATTGCTTTACATGTAGACCACTCATCACTCAACCCACACCAGAGAACTTTTTCTTACAGTAAATGGTAATTAACACAGAGACCCACAAATGGCCAACATGCAATGAAACCTTGGAGAACTCAATCCTAAATGGGATGTCTTATCAAACCCTTCCTTTGAAGGCTGAGGCATCTACACAGAAGAAGAGGTAGAAAGACTGTAAGAACCAGAAGTAATGGATGACTTTAAGGAAATAGCATCTTTCAGACACAATAGGGCTGGTGCATATATGAACTCACAGAGACTATGACAGTACACACAAAACCTGCACAAGTTCAAACTAGACAAAAATACCCAGATGGAGAAGGGGAACTGGGCACAATCCCATCCCTAACCAAGAAGCTGTTTATAATTTATAACTAATGGGAAAGGGAAAATTTATTTTTCTGTGGTGGAGTGGCACTGGGTATATCAGCTACACTTCAGGGCAGGCTCATACTCAGGAGTGGTTGAACAACAGAAAACAAACACCATGTACTTTGTGTGTGCCTATTTTTGATAGGATTTGGTGTTTGTTGTCTTTTTGGTCTTTGTTTTATTGGAGTTTGGGAGATTGGGAGGTTTTTGAGAGAAGTAACACAAAGTCGAGTGGATATAGGGAGGTGGGGAAGATCTTGGAGGTCTTGGGGGAGCGGAAGAATACAATTGAAATATATTGTATTAAAATGTAAAATAATAAAAAAAACTACAGCAGAAGTCCCAATATACCTTACACCAAAAGTTCTAAATAGATAAAGCACATGTAAAATTAAACAATAAAGGTTCCTAGAGGAAAATATCATAGAAGATACTTATGGTTAAACAAGGTAAGACTATAAAAGTTTTTTAAATCTTGAATATGCAGATCAGGAAAACAGGCTGTGTAGAAATAAATAATAAATTTTATGTAAATTTAAATTTTTTTATTAAGAAAAATTTTATCCATTTTACATACCAATCAAAGATCCCCCTCTCCCCTCCTCCTGCCCCTCCAACCTCCCCTTTCCAACCCACCTCCCATTACCTCCTACAAAAAGGTAAGGCCTCCCATGGGGAATTACATTTAGAAGAGGCAAGTCCAAGCCTCTCCCCCTGCCTCAAGGCTGTGTAAGGTGTCCCATCATATTCAGTGGGCTCCAAAAAACCTGCTTATGCACCAGGGATGGATTCTGATCCTACACCAGGAGGCCCCTTTAAGCAGATCAAGCTACACAACACAACTGTTGCACTATGCAGAGAGCCAAGCCCAGTCCCATGAAGGTTCCACAGCTGTTGATTCAAATTTCACGAGTTCCCACTAGTTTGGTTTTTTCGTCTCCTCAGGTTTCCCCATCATGCTCTTGATGTACTTGCTCATAGAATCCCTCTTCTCCCTCTTTGACTGGATTCCTGGAGCTCCGCCTGGTATTTGGCTGTGGATCTCTGTATGTGCTTCCATCAGTCACTGGAGAAAAGCTCTCTGATGACAGGATATTCACCAATCTGGTCACTGGGGTAAGCCAGTTCAATTCAAACACCCTTTTCACTATTTCTAGTAGTCCAAGCTGGGGTCATCCTTGTGGATTCCTGAGAACTTCCCTAGTACCTGGATTCTCTCTATCCCCCATGATATCTCCCTCTATCAGCTAATAGATGAGATCTCCATGAGTAAACTGGGCATGAGGGGTGGGCAATGGAGGGTAAGGGATGGGAGATAAGAACATAAGGGAACAGGATGGTCAAGCTGGAACAGGCATGGAGTGGGAAAACAATGAAAGAGATACCATGATAGAGTAAGCTTAAATTTTAAATAACATTATTTTTATTTATTTAGCCTCTGTACAGTTTCATTCGTGTGTATAATATTTCCCTTATTGATCTGGAAAAAAACTTTAATAGAAAAATGAAAAAATGAAATAAAACTGGTTGCAAAAGTGTTCATACCATCCATTGAAATTGTATCAATAAAGAAAGATAATTGGTGCTCTTGTTTGAATGACAAAAAATAAATAAAATAAAAATAAAAATGTTATGCTGTGAAAAAAAATAAAAATGGAAAAATGTTATGAACAAATAACTCACACAAAAAAATAAATGAAATGGTTTTTAGAAATATTGAAAGAATCTTTTCAAGAAGAAAATTAGAAAGGATCTATAAGAAAATGTATTTTTTTACTTAAATCTCAAAAGTAAGACAAGTTATATACTCATGTTTGTTGCTAAAATACACAGTAGGAAAATTGTTATATAAATTATGGTAGTATAAGATCACATTTGAAAATTTTATATTATTTCATTTATTGTCTCTATCAGAATCCAGGAGATTAAGCACTTCCAATTTCCCAACAGGGACTTAATACATGCTTGTGTAACAAGAAAATGAGTACATTGAGGACTTTCTTTATCTTACTAGGCTGGAAGTGATGGGGAAAGTATCAGAAATTGTCCCTTTTGCCAATGCCTTTTTATGATACTCTGGCTTAAAGGAGTTAAATTTAATGCAACTATTATTGACATGACCAGGTAAGATAAATCAGGATATATTGGATTCTGGTGCTTGATATTGATAGACAACAACATAATGTTGGTATTTGATAGCATGTACTTTATCTAGAGATCTAACTTTTCTTATTCTCAATGATCATAGAAAATCTGAAGAACTGAAGAACTTAGCCCCAGGTACCAATCCCACATTCTTGGTATATAATAAGGAGTTGAAAACAGACTTCATTAAAATTGAGGAATTTCTAGAGCAGACACTGGCTCCTCCAAGGGACAACATGTTATAGGATATTATTATGCTTATGATAATTTTTGGTCTATTGATACTTTCAGATTGATTTTTCTCATCTTTAAAATTACACTTATTGATTGATTAATTGATGTGTATGTGTGTGTGTATGTTTTTATGCACACGTACATGCGTGCCATAGCACATGTGTGGAGACTAGAGAAAAACTTGTGGGTGTCGGATATTTCTTTCCATCAATTGGGTCCCAAGGATCAAACGTGAGTCTTCAGATTCAGTGACAAGTACCTGTATCCACTGAGCCATCTTACCAGTTCCAGATCGTGGATTCTTGCTAACTTGAAAGTGGTTTGGTAATCTGGGATTACAATAAGACACATACATAAACCTCCTCCTTCAACTTCAAATACATAATAGATATAATGATCCAAATGATTTTTAAATTCATAGCATATTTTAAAACAGGAAATTTTCTATAAACTTGAAATAAAGAACTCATGGGATGGGAGTGAGGAGACAGAGTACTAACACTGTATAATTCATAAGCGCTAGTCATCTGGTTTAGGAGAGTATCTTGGACTCCTGTGACCAACAAGTTGAAGAGAAGTATCAATCATCTGCCTAGCACAGACATTTTTGTTAGATAGTCCATCACTCCTTGGGAGATCATTACCCTAACACCTAGAATAACTACTTCTAAGTAATCTTACAATATAAATATAATAGGTTTCCCCAGTGGCTTTTCCAAATATCATTTCTTTTTTATCCCTCATCCATCCCTCTCTATATGAAACTGTCCTCCATACTAATTAGTTTTCTATCATTGTGACAAAATGGCATGACCTAGGCAACTTATTACAGAACATATATAATTGGGCTTACAGTTCAGAGGGTTAGAGTCGATGATGGTAGAGCAAAGGCATAGTGGCAGATTGTATAAGTTATGACAGCATTATCCAGCATTAAAGAGGGACAGGAGGAAGGCTAGTTGGTTCATGGAGGAACACCATGCTTTTTGGTTGGTATATGTGCATAAAACTGGAGATGTTGGAAGCACCTTGGGAATAGATGACAAAGGAATGTCACAATTGCTGGTGATGTGCAAATGGATGGAATCAGCTTAGGAGAATAAGCAGAGCAAGAAAAGAGAGGGTTCCCCTGTGAAGAAACTTGCAGCATAGAAAGGAATAAGATACAATGGTACTTTAAGAGAGGATATTTGGAGAGGAAGGGAAGATGATTTTAGGTTTAACAGGACATGAACATATTTATTAGCTAAGAGGAAAGAGCTAACAGAGGCAAAGTGATAGATTATTCAGGGGTGTATTAGTTAGGGTTCTCTAGAGGAACAGAACTGACAGAATAAATATATATGGGATTTGTTAGCATGGCTTACAGGATGTAGTCGAACTACTCTAACAATAGCTGTATATCAAAGGGAAGTCCAAGAATCCAGTAGGTTTTAGACCATGAGGCTGGATGCTTCAGCTAACATTTAGTATATGCCAGAATCCTGGAGGAGTAAGCTCTTGTGCCAGTGAAGGGATGAATTCGCCAGTGAGAGTGAGGACAAGCAGGAAAAAAGCAAAAGCTTCCTTTATCTGTGTCCTTTATATAGGCTGTTAGCAGAAGGTGTGGCCCAGATTAAAAGTGGATCTGGATTAAAGGTGGGTCTTCCCATTTCAAATGATTTAATTAAGAAAAATCTCTCACAGGCATACTGAGCTGCTTGGGTTTTAGCTAATTCCAGATATAGTCAAATTGACACCAAGAATAGCTATTACAAGTCCACCTCTTGTAAACATGACACACAATCATATCTTCTTATGTAGTGGGTAGCCATTCCAGCTTTGATCTGGAAGTTCCAACCCCCATTGAGCCTTAGGTAACTGTCACGCTTACAAGGCGGGGCCAAGAGAGGACCCTGAAGACCTGAGATCCAGATGCACCAGCTCTCTTGGTTCCTGGACCCTGGACACTGGAGGTAGACGAGCAGAGTTCTCCAGAGAACACCACTGGACTGTGCTACACCTTTCCCAGACCCTGTAAACTATCCCTTCACTTGCAAGTTACCCCACAAAATAAACCTCCCTTTTAACTACATGAGGTGGCCTTAATAATTTCACCAATATTCTTATGTCATGCTTTGTTTTCAAATGAAAACAATAACCAGGTCATAATTACACCTAATATGATATAACTATCCCATGTACAACCACAAACAAATTATAAGTTTTAGAATAAGTGGCAATGTCCCTTGAGGGACATTCTTTTGGTATCTCAAAATTTAAATATGATAATCACTGGTAGTCTCTTAATTGATGTTACATTACATGATAAGGCAATTGAAGAAAGAAAACACAAATATCTGTGCAAACACATCCTTAACAAAATATGACAGAAACACTCATGTCAATTCTAATCCTTGTTTCTGCAATTGGTCACATGGCTTTAGTTGGTATTTAGAACTACCTTCCTCTACTATCCCATTCCGTATTTCCTCCACCCTTGGCAAGCACCCCAGCAGGTCTTGGTTCTTTTCCTGGAGGAGTGGCCCATACCTCCATTCCTGAAGGTTCTATGCCCTTTGTCATCCTGCCTGGATTAAGCTGTTATAGTTTCCCATTGGCTTCGATCACAGGACATGGTAGCACCAAGACACCCTAAAGTATCTCCTTGCACTCCAGACATAATCTTTCTTACCTCCATTGTGGAGAATCAATCTATTTTGGTTAGATTTATTCCAAGATACTTTATTTTTGAAACTATTGTTCCCTTGATTCCTTTCTCAGTGTGTTTGTCATTTGTATACAGGAAGGTTACTGATTTTTGTGTGTTAGTTTTTTATTCTGCTATTTTGCTGAATGAATTTATCAGCTGTATGGAGACTTTGGGTTCTTTATGAAGAGAATCATATCATCTGTGAATAAGGATATCTTGACATCTTCCTTTCCTATTTGTATACCTCTTGTCTTATTGCTGTTTAAGACTTTAAGCACTACATTGAACAGGCATGGAGAGAGTGGACATCCTTGTGTTGTTCCTGATTTTAGTGGAAATACTGAGTTTTTCTCTATTTAGCGTGATATTGGTTGTGGAGCTGCTGTAAATTGCCTTTATTATGTTACGTCTTTTGTATCTCTAGTCTCTCTAGGACTTTAACAATGAAGGGATGTTGGATTTTTGTCAAGGGTCTTTTCTGCATCTAATGAGGTGATCATGCTTTTTATGTACTTGAGTCTACAAGCAAGACATTTTACCTGCTTGTTTCCCAACTACTTTCTGAAAATGTATTGCTTTTGTTCCTTGCACCAAATAGGAACATAATCAAGAATCTAAAGCATCATTGTTATAGGTATATAAGGTTTAAATCCCAGGCCATAATTTCCACTGAATTTTAGAAACTAAAATATTCTCAATTTGAGGAAAAATATATTTCTAATGAGAGGTTTCTGAATACCTTAAATTTTCAGTACAATTTAGAAATTTAGAAAATTTCTATTCTTTGTAAAGTCTAGGATACCATGGATCTATAATACAGTTTGGGAACTATAGTCACCTGCATTCCTTTTTAAGATATCCTCATCTGAGTCCCAAGTACAAGGAATCTTTTGATATGGGCTATAATCTCTTTGCCAAGTTTTCTGCATATATTAAGAATATACAAAAGAAAGCAAATAAGAGTAAGAATTCTTTTTAAGACTCTATTTTTCTCAGATATTTGTTTATTCTCTCATTGTCACTCAACTAAAACAGAATTTTCACAAAAATATAGTGCATTTTGGGGAACAGCCCACTTCCCCCTTCATTTTCTGTTCTGTCCTCAGAAATTCCGTTGCATTGAGTTTTAGTGTATTTAGAATCCAAGATTCAATATATTAATTACCAACACAGTTCAAATAGAGCATTCATGGCTTTTTGGAACCTACTCCCTATGGTGGGATGCCTCGCTCACCCTTGATATAGGGAGGGGGAGAACTTGGTCCTGCCTCAACTTGATATGCCGTGCTTTGTTGATGCCCATGGGATGCCTTACCCTTTTTGAGGAGTTGATGGAGTGGGTTGAAAGGAGGTGGGGGAAGGAATGAGATGAGAGGAGGGAGGGGAAACTGTGGTATGTAAAATAAATTTTTAAAGTTAATAATAATAAAAAAGAAAAAACAAATAGAACATTTGTTGACTAGCTGTGAACTAGCTGAAGAACTATGCCTTTGAAGTTCTTTAAACTGAAGGACCTAGCATCTCCAATAAACATTCTTGAATAGGTTTGTTTTCCTCTGAGTCATAAAAACATAGTCTCCTCTCTTGGACCTTAAGTCCAAGATATTTTACTCACCATTTGAGCTGACTCTGTCTCATCAGTGTATTAGTGGAAAAGAGCTAGTTCAAGCAGTGTGTACACCATGAAAGTTTATTAAGAACATATTTAGTTATCAAGATAATATATTTGTAAGTGACCTTATTACTTCATTGTCTCAAATTTTGAAAAATCTCTGCTAAGAGAATTTAAACATCTGAATGACAACTTAAATATTCCACTTCTGGACAAAATTGATCAAGACAGTGCTGGGAAACACACAGTTTCTAGAAAACTTCTTAGATGGAGATCAACTAACACTGGCTGACTGCAGTTTGTTATCCAAACTGAATATTATTAAAGTAAGTTTGAGGATGAGTGGCTGCATAGAGTGAGGGGTTTGTGAGTTGGTAGTATATATCACAGTGACCTTCTAGTAAGGTAAACATATGGCTTCCTCTACATTTGTAGACAAAACATTAAAACAGTAAATTCAATATTCTTTATGATTATTTTATACTTTATTTTGTAGTACCTGGCCTTTGAGGTGTGTTTCTACATAGGAGAACATAAATGATATATTTTACTATCAACTTTTTTCATTTTTTTCTAAAACCCTAGGTTACTGCCAAGAAGTACTGTGACTTTGACATTCTGGCAGAATTCTCAGGAGTCTGGTGCTATCTCCACAATGCCTATGCCCATGAAGAATTTGCCTACATATGTCCTGAAGACAAAGAAATTGAAAATATGTATGCAAGTGTGGCTAAACAGTAGAGACAAGACAACTCTTTCAGGAGAAAAAGTTCTCTTTGTTATCAAATTTCACTTTGTACCTTATTAGAAATATTATTGGAAATAATAGCTTGTAAAATACTATTTCCTCAGTAATGGAAAAAAAAACTCTTAAGTTTTCTGTTATCTAGTTAGCCATAAACAATCTACCTCTTTGTATTTTACAGATCGTCATATTTTCACTTCATTTATTCTTATGACAAACCATTGAATATTAAAAACATGGAAAGCGTCTTTTGTTTTTGAGTTCCTAGGATGCATAACATGTGAGATAAAACATATATGGATGAAGTAAAGATTGGCAAAAACTGTATGATATCACTCATTTGTAAACTCACAAATAAAAATTGATGTCACAGAAGCTAAGATAGTACTTATCAAAGGCTGGGAGAGTACAAAGATAGAAAAATGGTGAAAAACTTGATCAATAGGTATTAAGTTACAATTAGATATGAAATAAGTTCTAGTGTTCTTATGCATTCTAACATAACTGTACATAAAAATAATATGAGTGTGTATTATTAGAGAAAGTGAAAACATTTATTGTTTATGTCCCAAAAGTGAAAAAATGGAAATGAGAAGATTTGAGAAGTTTTCTTGAGTTTTAATAATAGCCAGTATAATCCAAAAAAGAAATGAAAATAAAACACATGTCGAGGTTCCAAATTATGTAAGTAGAGCCACAATTTAAGTACTACTTAGAAACAATTCCATCTAAATTACTATAGTAATTTTACATTTGGTTAATACATACATTAGTCTGTTTCTGAAATGAAAACTGACATCAAAGCAGGACCGCTTCAAAGAAGGAATTCCAAAACAATGATTTTTTTCTTAAAAATCATTAAACAGGTCAGGATGGTAGTATTTTTCTCTAATCTCAGTTCTTGGGAAGAGAGGCAGGCAGATCTCTGTAAATTTAAGACCAGCCTGGTCTACATATCAAGTACATAGTCAGAGCTACACAGTGAGACCCTGTTTCAAATAAATAACTAAATAAAAATCATTAACGAGATCAAGATCAATTAGTCATATAAGAGCACTCAATATCTAGAAATATGATCACATCACAGACATGAGACTATGGCCTTTGTGACCATTTTATTAAATGAGCAAGTATTCATTTGGGAAAACTTAATTTTATAAAAAGAGATGAGGAGGAAATACATAGCAAAGCTGCAAAGTCAATTGGATCTTTCATTCATATAAAGAAGAAAATGAAGAAGCTTAGTTAACAAAGAGGTTTTTGAGATATCCATTAAATTATAATGTAGATGGAAGATGATCATAAAGCTTTCTATTGAATTTTTAAAAATACCATATATATTAAAATTCATAAATACCTTGTATGTCACATGTCAATGTATCACTCAAATCTGGGAACAAAAGCTGAACTTTCTCCTTTGAAGAAGAAACAAGAAAATGGGAAGCTTCAAGAAAGAAAAACATTGTTTTTATAAGCTTTGAACAGGGTGTAGTTAAGATAAAATTTAAATGACGTAGCGTTTTAGTAGATTTGAAGAAAAGTGAGGCAGTGAGTTAGGAGTCAACATCTAGTCTAAGCATATAAATGGTACAATGTACTGTCTTTGATAATCAGTCAAAGTAAATATATAAAGTCAAGCTGTTTCTTCACTGGAAGTCTTCTGATCTGATAAATTGCACCTATAATCTGTGACTTCTCTGGACATATTCTACATTTCCATTTTCACTAATATGATTTCAAAAAGTAAATTTGTTTAAGATTTATGATTTTAAGGCACAAATCTTCTCAACAAAGTTTCTGTTGTGCCTTGAAATTTATTAGCTCAAGCTGTTTTTTTTTTTATTTTGCAATACAATTCAGTTCTACATATCAGCCACGGATTCCCTTGTTCTCCACCCTCCCACCCCCCTCACTTTCCCCCCAGTCCACCCCCCATTCCCATCTCCTCCAAGGCAAAGCCTCCCCCACGGACTGAGATCAACCTGGTAGACTCAGTCCAGGCAGGTCCAGTCCCCTCCTCCCAGGCCAAGCCAAGCGACCCGGCATAGGCCCCAGGTTTCAAACAGCCAACTCATGCAATGAGCACAGGACCCGGTCCCACTGCCTGGATGCCTCCCAGACAGATCAAGCCAATCGACTATCTCACCCATTCAGAAGGCCTGATCCAGTTGGGGGCCCCTCAGCCATTGGTTCATAGTTCATGTGTTTCCATTTGTTTGGCTTTATCCAACCTTGATCTCAACAATTCTTGCTCATATAAACCCTCCTCTTTCTCGCTAATTGGACTCCTGGAGCTCCACCCGGGGCCTAGCCGTGGATCTCTGCATACAGTTCCCTCAGTCATTGGATGGGGTTTCTAGCACGACAATTAGGGTGTTTGGCCATACCATCACCAGAGTGGGTCATTTCGGGCTGTCTCTTGACCATTGCCAGCAGCCTATTGTGGGGGTATCTTTGTGGATTTCTGTGGGCCTCTCTAGCACTTTGCTTCTTCCTATTCTCATGTGGTCTTCATTTATCATGGTCTCCTATTCCTTGTTCTCTCTCTGTTGTTGATCCAGCTGGGATCTCCCGCTCCCCCAAGCTCTCTTTGCCTTGACCCTCGCCCTTCATTACCCCCACTCATGTCCAGGTTGTTCATGTAGATCTCTTCCATTTCTCCGGCATTGGGCGATCCCCGTGTCTTTCTTGGGGTCCTGTTTTCCAGGTAGCCTCCCTGGTGATGTGAGTAGCAGTCCAGTCATCCTTGTTCCACATCTAGTATCCTCCTATGAGTGAGTACATACCATGTTTGTCTTTCTGAGTCTGGGTTACCTCACTCAGTATGATTTTTTTCTAGATCCATCCATTTGTCTGCAAACCTCATGATGTCATTGTTTTTCTCTGCTGAGAAGTATTCCATTGTGTATATGTACCACATTTTGTTTATCCATTCTTCAGTTGAAGGGCATCTAGATTGTTTCCATGTTCTGGCTATTACAACCAATGCTAATATGAGCATAGCTGAACAAGTGCGTTTGTGGTATGATTGAGCATTCCTTGGGTATATGCCCAAGAGTGGTATAGCTGGATTTTGGGGGAGATTGATTCCCAATTTTCTAAGAAAGTGCCATATTGATTTCCAAAGTGGTTGTACAAGCAGTTCAAGCTGTTTTTACAGCTTAGTGATAAAGTAAAATCCTGAATATAACAGGATGGGAATTTATGACAAGGAAGTGGTTGCCCAACTACTCTTAGACAAAAAGAAATATTATCTTTTGCCATCAGGCTGTTTGGGGATTCTAGGGCCAGTTGAAGTGGATCCTGGAAGTTTCCCAGTCAATTATCTTCTTAAATGATATTAACAGGGCTCAATTCAGCAGCTATTTAATGAATGCTTACTATGTTATTATTTTACTATTTAATCCCCACAACAACTCTGTGAATTATATAAAAGTACAGTTATCTATGAATTAAATAAAACACAATTCTCAAATGCTGTCATTTACTTATAAGAGAACTAATAGGAAGATAAGTTACCCATCTGAAGAGACTCAGAGGATCAGAGATTGATAACAGTCAGAAGAGAAATGCTAAGCCAGGCTTGATGGCTCATACATGTTATCTCAGTACTTGGGAGATTGAGTCAGTAGGATCACAAGCTCAAGGCCAGAATGAGCTATATATGAATTCCAAGACAGGCTTGGCTACAGAGTGAGACCCTGTCTCAAAAGAAAAACCAAAAACCAGAACAAAAAAGGGACACTCACAACTGATTACTAACTTAACTGGCTAACTTTACGAAGAACAGTAAGATATTTCTCTTAAGGTTTAAGTTCTCCATGTAGCTATAAAATTGCAAGAATATATCAAGTCTTGCATATTTACTGTACTAACCTTACAGGATTCTAAATCATTTATCTTTAATGATCTTGGATATTTAGTCAAATATGATGTGACAACAAAGTTAGATTCTCCAATGAGTGAATAAATTTTATCAGAAAATACTCTGATATAACGGCAAAGTGTTGATAGCATTATTTTTATTTTGTTAGGTTCAGGATAATTGTTTTTATTTCAAAATCAACTATTATGATCATTCCCATTTTATATGCAAGAAAACACAAAATCTCAGTAGCTTAATAATTATTATTTTATTTTTATTAGTAAAAAGACTGAAGTTCATAGAAGTCATATGTTGTGGGATGGTGTTTCTGCATGCTGTGAATATGTGTTGCTACCATTGGTTGTAGCATGAATCTTAAAAGTCCTTATTAATAAAATCAAACCCGAGGCCAGTTATTGGGGTCAATGCTGGTAGATCAGAGAGACAGAAAAAGCCACAGCTACCTCACCTCGCCGGATCCTCAGCTGGTCTTGTCTCCTCAGACTGGAGGCCTCTGAGTCTTCATCCAGAATGGGTCTCAGCTGAATTGCTGCTCAAAAGCCTGAATGCTTAACCAGCCAAATGCTTCTAGTTTCTGGTCTCCACGCCTTATATATCTTTCTGTTTTTGCCATCACTCCCTGGGATTAAGGGCTCGCTTTCTGGGATTAAAGGCGTGAGTCACCATGCTTGGCTGTATCCTTGAACAGATGGATTTCTGCCTCTGGAATGCTAGAATTAAAGGCATATGCTACCACTGCCTAACTTCTATGTTTAATATTGTGGTTGTTCTGTCTCTGACCCCAGATAAGTTTATTAGCATGCACAATATTTTGGGGAACACAATACCACATTTCCCCTTTTTGTCTAAAATTAAAAAAGCTTATAACTAATACAAGAAAAATTATATCCAGTAAGTATATACAATATACACAGTCAAGATTACATTAATGATGCCTAGTCCATTAACATTTGACAGATTCAGATAAAAAAAACTCCATTAATATATAACAATGTCCAGTCCAGTAACATTTGATAAACTCAGACAAAAAAATTCATTACTTATCTTATTTAAAACAAGTAGCTCCTTTTTAAAAGTAGATTCCATAATCTCCCTTTTTATCTTATCATA